AAGCATATCTTGTATTGAATAATACACCCACTACTAGCTCTACATTTTGCACCCCACCCACAAAGTTCCCCTCAGATTAGTACGCACGCAAACTGCATTCTGAACAGATCAGCACAAGGCCCTGACAACTCTTGCTAGCCTGGACAATGGCTAATCCTAAACCAGGCGATACCAAATCCATCACTAAATCACACAGTATCCGGTCTTAGCCAGTTATAGTGGGTCCTGCTTTGGACTTGTCTCATGAGACACCACGTCACCGCCGCCACCCCTGTCGTCTAGAGCTTGAGCCCAATTTAACTTCATAAGTAAAAAACGAGAAGGACAAATCACGCCAAAATAAAAGAAAAAATCCCCTGATCTTGACAAACAATAAAAAACATCAAAACAAATCATAAAAAAACACTACAACCAACAATCAGAACGAAAGAACTTAACTGCAAAGCACACAACAAGCACAATGTCCCCCCTACACTTTGACTTATACCACTACGAACTATGGCGACCCTAAATCAATAATCCACTCATACAAAGCTCGCACACACAAAATATCATAATTGTCCTGCAGACAGCGCAAAAATACAAAATGGAGAACCCCATAACCAACACACCCAAAACAAAAACCTATTACAGCTACACTTTAATGACACAGCCACCGCAGCGAATCCAATGCAAGCCTCGTTACAAGAAATAAAACAAAAATCAACCAGGATTTCATAACAGCCTGACAGAGAAAAGTCAACATTCTTTGGCTTTTACAGTTTAAAGCAATCTATCAAGACTGTCAAAGTTAATTGAGTGCGTCAGTGCAATAGCATTAAGGCTGACTATTTATTATTTGTCAGATTTTTGTCATTATCTTCTTCTTCTTATTATTATTATTCTCCTTCTTCTGCCTAAAATTCAGATCCATGGATCTTTTAGCTTTTGGGAAACTCGAAAATAACTTTTATCAGGATATTAACATAAACAATTAAAATCTGTTTCTAGTTTCCAGCTGTCTACATTTTCCTTACAATATTTGCTGCAATCTCTGCAAACCTATTTTACACAGAAATAGGGACACTGGCACATTCATAATTTTTTCAGGAATTTTCTAGTGGATTTTAAGCACTTTGTTTCCTTCTGCTTACTCTATCTAACTCAGTCTGGCCCTCTGAGGAAAAAATGTTGCCAACACTGCCGTGGATACTCGTCCTGAACACTCGAGACAGAAACATGTTTCCTTGGTCACATTCCTCTTGTGAATTTGACCCTGTCACACATTCAGCTGCTCACCGATTGGACTGTTAGATACACTCCTCCCATCCACTGGTATGAATGGCAGCTTGTGTTTTCTGTGTTCAGACACTCTCCACTCTGTCAGCCTGAACAGTTATTTTTCACAAAACCCAGGAATGTTTGGTGTCACATTGTCCAGCTGGTTTTCAGCCCAACAAACAGCAGACTGTGAGGATTTTTTTTTTCCGCTCTGCTCTCAGTCACAAGATGCTCCACCAACAGTCATCTGAGGCTGAGTAATGTGCTGCTTCACTGATGAGGGCTGAAAGAGGCTGATGGGTTTGTTATAGAATAGGGGAAAAAAAGTATGATTAAATGTAGGGCTGTTCAATATAACGATATATATCGGATGACGATATAAAAACGTCTATCGTTTCTTTTTACGCTATCGTTTGTTTCGTGGTGTCGCAAAATAAACTTTACGGCAATATTTTTTTTTTCATGGTTTTGATGGGCACTGTAGTGGCTACAGTATATTAATTTCTTAAAGTTCTCTCTTTCTCTTATATTTAATATAACCACACTACAGACGGACAAGCGCCTGTTTTTATGCGCTGTCGTTAGCAACAACGACGGTAAAACCATCACATGTCCTCTTGTTTATTTTCCACATAAACCTTTCACAATAAAGCTCAAGATCATGTGGAGACTTTTCAAAATAAACGGAATCACGTGAAAAAGTATGCAGAGTATTGACGGATGAGAAGCAAAAAAGAGCCGTCAGGTGCTAAAAAATAAACCTTAGACTCAAACGTTAGAACAGGCTTTTCCCCGCAGCACGCCGTGTAAGAAATACTCACAAAGAAAACGGCGGCTGTTACAACCTATGTCTAAAAATGTGTAGTGTCATGCATCGGTTAAAACACTCGACTCCAGCTACACGACGCCCAGCTGGAAACACTTCACCTACCCAAGATTCACAGAATTTACAGAAAATATAAATTTTTTTGTGATTTATATCGTTATTGGGACGATAGAGGTTTTATATCGGGATATGAGATTCTGGTTATATTGCACAGCCCTAATTAAATGCTTGGACCCCAGAATTTGCTTTTTGCTTTTATTGTGTTGAAATATTGCAAAACTGTTGCCCAGTTTTTGGAGATATCGGCTGTAGAGATGTCTGCCTTTCTCTATAATATACTGGGATCAGATGGCGCTTTATTTGCAGAAAGGGGAAAAAAAACATGTTCACAGTTCATATAGGAACTCATTTCTTTCTATCAGACTACACCCACCAAATGTAATGCTGTGAAGAACAACGCCTCCATTTACTCGTGAAGAGAGACTCGTGACAGAATACCATAAATGCTTTAAGACACTAAACTGTGCCCCTCAGCTGCCTCTCGAACATGTTTCTCACCCCGTGGATGGACTCCAGCTCTGTCATCTTGAGCTGTAGCTGGCGACTAAAGTCCTTGTTTTGCTCTGAGCTCAGTGTAGTGGTCCCAGCTCTCCACCTACTCCAGGTTGTGGTGAAAGTGGCCCCTCCAGCTCCAGCTCCGGGAGGCTCTCTAGCATACTACCGTCGCCAAATTGGAGTATGTCTGACAGTGGGATAAGGCACAACAAAAACAACCTGAGCAACCTGCAGAGAACCATTAGACAGGAGGGAACTTTTTTTGCTTTGGTGTGAATTACAGAGAAGAAAGTAGGTCATTTTGATTTGGGGACGAAGCTGTTAAGCTGTTTTTAAACATGAACTCGAGTACTGAGTTGCCAAACAACAAGTTTTCCTCTGACTTGTTGTTTCCAAATTTTCCCCACAGCTGATAACATCACTGTTAGGTCCAGTCCAGAAGTAAACAAGCTGGCTGCTAACAAAACTGTTCCATGAATACCACTAAAAAAACAATCTAAGTGGAGGCAAACATCCCTGTGAGGGGGCTGAAATCTCTTAAAACAAAGGGTTGGTTTCACATCTATGGGCTTTATATTCCCATCAGACGCCTGATGTCAGCAGGATTCGACTGAAGTGCCCGTTTAGTCCACATTGACTCCAGCCTCAAAGTTAACATCAGACATTTTGCTGGACAAAAATAGTTTAACAGTAAGTTCCACGAGGAATAAACGGAAAGAAAAATGTATTGTTTTTATTGACTGAGTGATTGATTTTTTTATTTCCCAGCCCACAGCAGCTCTATATGCCCACAACCACACTGGAAAGCGCAGTCTGAAACTAAAGGCCTTAATGCATCAGTGTTGTGTATACGTTTTCTACGTTTGGGATTTATACATGCTGCCTGTGGAAATTATACTTGTTATGCTCTTCAATTTGAGACACTTTGCTTTGGAGAGACATGTTTTTACACACTCTTAACTCATCTGCGTTATTAAGATCATTCCCCCATTAGATAAAATAGGTAAAGTTTTATAAACTTTTGATTTAACAGGCTGTCTGTGTTGCAACTGTGACCTACAGTATGGTCATGAGATCTTGGAAATGAACTAAAGAATAAGACTGATTACAAGCGACTGAAATGAGCTTCTCCTAGAAGGTAGCTGGGCAGGCCTTAGAGAGAGACGTTGGAATAGGGCTGCTGCTCCTCCGTGTTGCAAGGAGCCAGTCAAGGTGGTTTGGCCTGGGAATACCTCAGGATCTCATAAGGAACTGGAAGAAGTTGTAGGGGAGAAGGATGACTGGAACATCCTCCCCAGCATGCTGCCACCACAAATCAACTTTGGATAAGTGGAAGATATTGATTACACAAATGGAAGTTACACAATTGAATAGAGAGGAGACTGTGTTGTTGTCGGTACTCTGATGTGGTATTTAAATCAATATTTATGTTTAAATGCAACTCTTTTCTGTGTCTTCTAATTGAAATTTGTCGCTTGCAAGGTGCTTTTGAACCCCATAGTCACTGGGGAATAACTACATCCTCGGGATGTGTGGGGGTTTTTTTCTATTTGGGTTTGCATTGCCAATAGGAACAGTACTGTGACATCCTGGAGATATGAAAAAGTTCCTATGATGTAAAAGGTTACTGACCCAAGTTGTAAAAATCTGCAGTGCTGCTCAGTTTCCCTGCAAGAAAGTGTTACCATTAATTTTAATATCCTCTTTTTCTTATAAAGGAAGCTGCATTTGCATTATTGTGATGCAAAAACCCCTGCACAAGATGCTTTGATAAGACTGGTGTGAGTCTCAACTGTTGTCTGGTCTGCTGGCTCTTCAGTCGTGCATGTTATGAGAAATTGAAACTGGCCCCTATTTTAAAAGAGACAGAACTGGAAACTAGGGTTGTGTCGATGGAGGATGATCTAAAGGTCAGATGATCATTAGAGGGGATTCAAGGGGATTTTTTTTCCAACTCATCTTCTTGTCAGCGTATTAATTTAATGTCATCATTATAATTAGATTGATAATAAATCTAATCAGCCACGCTAGTTTCATGTTAGCATGCTGGCATGTAACCGACATGGTTATGTGCAAGTTAATGCTCGCAACTCTTCACACTTTGAAATGAATGTATGTGTATCTGGAGAGAATATACTCATTTCTCATCATAGAGTAAGGAAAAACTTTAACTTGTGTTTAAAACTTAGTGGCCTCTTTTCATTCTTTTTCACAGGGCTTTGTGTTTGCTGGTGAAAAGAATCCGCTGTGGAGGAAACCAGCGAAGGACAAACAGGTGGGACACATTAACCCTCTCGAGGCAGGCGTTGCAGATTTGCAACAGTTAAAAACTAACAACCTGATTACCCCACATACATATTTTATGAGTATGTTTGTTTGTTTTTTTACTCAGAAGTACCACTGCAGGACTTGGTTGTGCATTAGCAACAAAAAGTTTAATTTGAGCCTGAGAGGGTTGAAAGGAGACTGTGAGGGAGTCAAAAAGAGCCAACAAATATGATGGCCTGGTATCTTTTTAGCTGTTTAACTGAATCTGGGTGGAGCACATAAGTTGATATTTCAGGGAAATGGTTGAGAATTCGACACACGTGTCAGGATGGGCATGCATACTCTTTTGTAATGGTTGTTACAAAGAAGTGTTTTGTTAGCCATTTGAAAATTGATGATAACAAGTCATTTTTTAAGCATCAATTAGATTTGCACTTTTTGAATGATATTAGAGTCTCATCATCGTTGGCTGCATAGAAATCCTGAGCTTAGGAGTAATATTTTTACATTATTTTCAGACACTGGTGCTTATATTTTTCCACAATAGCTCCATCGTGTCTGGTGTTTTTTAAATTCTTGTTTACATGTTTGTTTGTTTGTTTGTTTGTTTGTTTGTTTGTTTGTTTTTTGTCTAAACTGAGACCAAGTTGGGCATTTAAATTCCCCATTGTTCAAAAACGTGCACATAAAAAAAAAAAAGAGTATGTTTCCCTAAACTGAAAAATTGTGGCCATTTAGAAAATTCAATGCCTTAAGTTAAAGATTCAAAAGTGAGAAGCATAAAAACATTAGCTGTGGTATCCAATGATTATGGTATGTAGTCTTTGTCAACATACTTGAAGTAGGAAGTAAACACTCAAAAGATCTTGTAAACACTCTTACACTCTCAGCAGCGTTGTATTGTGTGTTTGTGTGTGTGTGTGTGTGTGTTAAGGGTAAAGGTTAGTCATGATGTACTTTTGACTTTTGGAATACCCAAATGGAAAACATTTTTAAAAGGAAAACTGTGATGTCAAAATGAAAACATGACACTTCACTTGAAAGGCAACATCTTTCTGTTTCTGAGAATTTGACCATTTTCCATGTGGGGAAAATAAAAACTAACCTTAACCCAAGACCAATCACCAATGACCTGGCAGGTGTTAAAATCTTAACCGCGCAGTGTTAAACTCATCCAGTGATTATCTCACTTGTTAGCAATGACACTGGAGTTAATAAATGTCTGTTGGACTACAGAGAAGATCTCCCAGCCCAAATAGAAACGGAGAATAACTGGCAGCATTGAGAAGCTGTAACACTGGTGTCAATGAATTTTAGTGAAGAAGAGACATCATCATGTGTGTTGGCTCGGCTGCCTTAAGAGGTCTACTCAGCTGGCTATTAGCCGCATTCAGTGGTGATGATGACTAAGAGCTGAGTGCAGGCTCTTATGGAGTTTTGCTGTGTTTCTGTGTTAATATGCAGTCAGCTATGCGAGTGATGGCCTGAAAATGAGACTGATGGAAGTTTGTGAAACAAAGTAGGAAGGAAAGAAAGTGATTGCGGTGCTAACATTTCCCTCTTGATAAGCAACAGATATACAGTGACTTGTAGCTGTAGCTGTTTATCCAGAACAGGAAGCTGCTGTCGTCGCGGAGTGTTCTAATTGCGGTGGGTTTGTAGGCTTTTGGCCTCTCGATATGTTTTAAAAGAGTGTGTATGTGTTGAGACTGACACAGAACTGATCTCTGTAGTTTGAAACCATCGAGATTAGGTGCTTCACACAGCTGTTTGTGAATGACTTGCACATTAAAGGCTAGTACTTCATGTATACATATGAAGCAGCCCAGTGAGTCAGACAGGCTTTCACTGACATATTCATTTATTCATGTGTTTATTCATTCAGGTGCTGCATGTTCTCGTATGCATTCAACCTGCTTCAACTTTTCTGCTGACAAAGATTTCTCCATTTTTAAACATTTGCATTTTCTGTTGGCTGAATTTTATTTTTCAGAAAGATGCAAAGAAACTGAATTACATTCAGAGTAGACCCAGCTGTTAAAAGAAGAAAGAAATATTTCAAGATCCACTAAGGTTTTGTTTGTTTGTTTTTTAACAAATGTTTCATCTACTGAAGCACAGGCATATTTTAATGAATATAACAGGGAAAGACATACACTGTATTGCCAAAGGGATTCACTCACCTATCCATGTCATTGAATTCAGGTCTTCCAGTCACTTCCATGTCCACAGGTGTATAAAAATCAAGCACCTAGGCATGCAGACCGCTTCTACAAATATTTGTGAAAGAACGGGTTGTTCTCAGGAATTCCAGCGTGATACAGTGATAGGATTCCAAATACGTGACGAGTCCAGTTGTGAAATATTCCAAATTCAACTGTTAGTGGTATTATAACAAAGTGGAAGTTATTAGGAATGATAGAAACTCAGCTACAAAGTGGTAGGCAATATAAAACCGCAGAGCAGGGTCAGCGGATGCTGACGAGCATAGTGCACAGAGATCAGCAACTTTCTGTAGATCTCTACAGACCTCCAAACTTCATGTTGCCTTCAGATTAGATCAAGAACAGTCTGTAGAGAGCTTCATGGAATGGGTTTTCATGGCCAAGCAGCTGTGTCACCAAGCACAACCCAAAGCTTTGGTTGCAGTGGTGCTTTAGACCACTGCATCTGTCTGAGCTAATTGGAGGGTCTTCACTGCATCCTTTTACTAAGTTCCAGTGAATGGAGCTCTTAATACTTCAGCATACCAAGGCATTTTGGATAGTTTCATGCTCCTAACTTTGAAGGATGTTTGAGGATGGCCCCTTCGTGTTCCAATGTGACTGTGCACCAGTCCACAAAGCAAGGGCCATAAAGACATGGATGAGTGAGTTTGCTGTGAAAGAAATTGACTGGCCTGCACATAGTCCCGACTTCAACACGATAAAAAAACACCTTTGGGATGAATTAGAGCGGAGACTAGAGAGGACATCTTGACCAGTATCAGTGTCTGACCTCACAAATGCGATTCTGGAAGCCCATTGACATGTACTCGTAAAACTTGTGAAAACTTTTCCCAGGAGAGTTGATGCTGTTATAGCTGCAAATGGTGGGTTGACATCATTTAAACCCTATGGATTAAAAATGGGATGTCACTCAAGTTCATATGCATGTGAAGGCAGGCGAGCGAGTACTTTTAGCCTTATAGTGTGTATCTCTGTCAGTCATAGCATATCCAAATGTTGGCTTTAGTAGAGTCAGACTTATTACCAAGTCTCTACAAAACTTGTATTAAATCACAAGTATATAGTGCATATGCAGTAATTTATTGCTCACTTAACACAATAACTGCATCTCAACTAATATAAACCAAGTGGTACTATTTAAAACAGGAAATGTGCTTTATTAGCAAGGCTCCTTCCGATTGTCAAACACATCAATCTTCATAATTTAGTCTGTTATAAAATATTACATTTTGGCACCAAATCACAACAAAAGTCACCTCAAGGCACTTTATTTTGTACTGTAAAGACCTTACAATAATAAAGAGAGAACCCAAGCAATCAAACGACTCCCTATAAGCAAGCACTGGCGACAGTGGGAAGAAAAAAACCTCCCTTTTAACAGGAAGAAACCTCTGGCAGAACCAGGCTCAGGGAGGGGCGACACTCTGCCAAGACAGGTCGAGGGTGAGAAAGACATTTGCTGTTAAAGGCAAACTCAAAATAAGCCCTAGATAAGGTTGTTTTTTTTCCCAATACGGAGAGCGCATCTGATTTCAGAGGTTTTTGGTAATTGTTGCTTTAGAAAATTCTAAAAACACAAATAAAAGAAAGATGTATTGGGGTTCAATTAAATTTGCATTTGGTTGTCCAAAGAAAGATCTGCAAAACTGCTGCCCAGAGTGAGCTCAGCTTTTTAGAGAGGGGATAAAGTGCACAGTTGTGAAGGAAAGGGTTGCACTGGAGAACGAGACCACCAATATTAGTTTTATCTTTAATATCTTGTTTTCTAATTGTAATTGGAAAAATAACTGACACGAGGAGTTGAATTTTAAGTGGAGTGATAATGGCAGTTTTCTCATATCCAAGCGTGTTAAATGATGCGCTTCGACATGTGTGATGTCTCTCGTCAGGATGTTTGTTGTCTGCCGCTGTCGTATTTTTAGCTGCTTCTTCTTCTTCATTTACCTCTTGAGGAAAATGCTGCCATGTCCCGCTCGGTGCGACCTGCTTATCAACGTGCTGCAGACAACAGCTGTTATCTAACATGTTGGAGACGCACTCCATGTCTCATTGGCATGCCTTGGCTTTTACTCTCACACATCAACATAGACTCATGCACTGCTGTAAATTCCTTTTGTGATGTTCTTTAAGAAGGAGAAACATGTTTTGTTTTTTTTAGGGGTGGGAGGGGGGGTTCATCTTTATTGAACATTAATATCAACAGTGAAAGAGAAAGAGAATCTATATCCACTGCATAGCTTATACAAATCAGTTATTCCGGCTGGCTTTTTCTTGGATACAAATCTTTCAAAAATGGTCCCCAAACTCTCAGTCTTTGAGAATATATGTAATTCTTTGTAGCGGAAAGTGTGGAACATTTGGCCTGTGAGATTTTGCCCTCAAAACAATACAATTAGCATTTAAGAGATGGAGATTCATCAGCAGTTTGTTTATTTGTTTTTAATTTAATTCTGTCCCTCTGGCTGCCAAAAAAAAGCTCTGGTTCAAGACTCATTTCCTTTCTGTATATTTTTATTATATTGGTTTAACTTGGCCCAAATCACAGATGTTCTGATTAAGCAGTTATAGAGTATTCACAGTCCAAGTGTGAATCACAGCACAGACTGATTTCCACTTTATTTTCTCTTTCTAATTGTTATTTAAAGTTTTTTATGCACCCTTTTTCCTCTTCTTGTGGAATCTCATCAGTCACAGACCACACAACTCCACATTTATCTGGGAATTCTCCACATTCCGCTCTCGCACTTTTGTTCGATGTTTGTGGTAACTTTAACATATC